CGGTCACCCCCCCCTTCCGGGGGGGGGGGGGAGCCCAGGTGCCAGCCCCTGGCTGAGCGAAGGGCCCGGAGTCCGTCCCCAGCCACCTCTCCCCTTAGAAAGAAAGACCAGGCCGGAGGTGGTGGTGGGAAAGGCCCCTTTCCGCCTGAGAGCCCCCCTGGAGAGGGAGCGGCTGCCCGTCTGAGTGGGCAAGACTGACCTGGGTGGGATTCAGTGGCAGGCCGCTTCCTGCAAGCGTTCCCCTGCTCCCTCCTTCCTTTGGTGGACTGAGGGTCTGGCGGCTCAGTTCCATGCGTCTTCAGGTGGCGTTCAGCCACCCTTTAGGTCCTGGCTCAACTTTGACCTCTTGCCTCTCCCCGTTTTGTCTTGTCCATGTTTTCTCTCCCTCTGAGAAGCTACAGAGGCTGGGACGTTATTCTACATGGGGAGGGGCTTGTGAGGCTTCCTCACTGCTGGTCCCATGGCTGATACAACACCAGTGGGGCTTCCGCGTGGCAAGTGTGCCCGCGGTTTCTGCACCCCAGGTGCCCTCCCCCCCAGTTTTTCTCTTTTCCAAATTGGCAATTGATGTAGCTTTACGGAATTGTAAGGTTACAAGAATCTGTTTATTGGATTCTCTGAATCTTACAAAGAGTAAGCTTTTAGCCTTTTTTATTGTCCAGATATAAAGGGAAACATGGATCTCGCAGGGGAAGGGTTCTGGGCAGCTAGAAGGGCAGTGGAGAAACCACAGAAGCCCCCTCTTGTGTGAGACGCACAGAGAGCCAGTTTGGTGTAGTGGTTAAGTGCATGGACTCTGGTCTGGGAGAGCCGGGCTTGATTCCCCCACTCCTCCTCCACTTGCACCTGCTGATGTGACCTTGGGCAAGCCGTAGTTCTGACAAGAGCTGTCCTTGAAAAAGAGCACTTCCTGTCAAGAGCTCTCTCGGCCCCACCTGCCTCGCAGGGTGTCTGTCTGTTGTGGGGAGGGGAAGGGAAAGGAGTTTGTGAGCCGCTCTGAGACTCCCATGGGTAGTGAAAGGCCATGGGGTATAATTCCAATCTCCTCCTCCTCCTCTTCTTCTTCTTCCACCAATGGAAGAAGAGCCAGTTTGGTGTCGTGGTTAAAGTGTGCGGTCTCTGATCTGGGAGAGCCGGGTTCGATTCCCCCACTCCTCCTCCACTTGCACCTGCCGAATGACCGTGGGCAAGCCCTAGTTCTGACAAGAGCTGTCCTTGAGAAAGAGCAGTTTCTGTCAAGAGCCCTCTCGGCCCCACCTGCCTCCCAGGGTGTCTGTCTGTTGTGGGGAGGGGGAGGGAAAGGGGTTTGTGAGCCGCTCTGAGACTCCTTCGGGTAGTGAAGGGCCATGGGGTATCGATCCAGTCTCTTCTCTTGGCCAGGACTGGCTCTGCCCCTGCCGGCCGGCTGCCTCACTGTGGTTTGGGCTGCTCTGGCGAAGTGGTGCGGACAGGAAAGTGGGGGGAGAAGGAGGTGCCAGAGGGATTCAGGGGCAAGACTGTCCCATGACCCAAAGGAGCCCAGGGCTGTCCAGGGACTGGTCCCTCCTTTTAACGGGGGTGGGGGCTTTGTACACTGCTTCTCTTGTGGGCGGGGGTGGTGCAGAGCATTTTGAGAAAAAGAACAATCCCTCTGCATTTGTGGCATTTTGAGGGGGTTGGAGTCCAAGTCTTATGAGGAAAGGCTGAAAGAGTTGGGTCTGTTTAGCCTGGGAAAGAGAAGGCTTAGAGGGGACATGACTGCAGTCTTCAAGTATCTGAAGGGCTGTCATGTAGAAGACGGAGCGGATCTATTCTCTCTTGCTCCGGATTGCAAGACTAGGTCTAATGGGTGGAAATTACAAGGGAGTTGATACCGGCTGAATATCAGGAGAAACTTCCTGACTGTAAGGGTGGTTGAGCAGTGGAACAGTCTGCCTCGGAAGGTGGTGGAGGCTCCTTCGCTGGACGTTTTCAAGCGGAGGAGGCTGGACAACCATCTCTCGGGTATGTTGTAGGGCTGTCTTTTGGCTGTGCTCCTGCAGAGTGCGGGGGGGGGGTTGGACTAGATGACCTGCAAGGTCCCTTCCGACTCTCACATTCTATGATTCTGTAATCTCAGGGAGTTTGACATGCATGGTAATCCAGTTTGGGAGTCATAGTTCTCCCTTGCAATAAGGTTCATTTGAGAAAAACCAGAACAGTCAAACCGCTGGGCAGTTCACGGGAGGCTGGTTGCCGGAAACTGCCCATTACAATGATTCATTATTATTATTATGAAGTTGCTTTGTTGAGACTTCGCCTTTCTCACTTAGACTTAAGGCAGATTACGAAATGTAAAGAGCCGTCCAGTCGACCCGAAAGGGCCTCGGAGAGAGACCGTGCGGCAGGACTCAAAGGAAAACCTTTGGGGCTGGATGGGCTTTCTGCGGGGCAAAAGGCGGGGCTGAGGGTTGGCACGAGTCCTGTGTGCTTCTGGGCAGGGCTGGCTTGAGCCTTTGGCAAGGGTGGGTCCAGAGAGGCCCGGGGAGGCTTTAGGGTCGCCTTCCTTGGGTTGGGGGTGACACAGCCAGTTTGGTGTGGTGGTTAAGTGCATGGACTCTAATCTGGGAGAACCGGGTTCGATTCCCCCACTCCTCCTCCACCTGCACCTGGCTGGATGGCCTTGGGCAAGCCGTAGTTCTGACAAGAGCTGTCCTTGCAAAAGAGCCGTTTCTGTCACGAGCTCTCTCAGCCCCACCTGCCTCACAGGGTGTCTGTCTGTTGTGGGGAGGGGGAGGGAAAGGAGTTTGGAAGCCGCTCTGAGACACCTTTGGGTAGTGGATGGGCGCTCCAGGCCCTGAGAGCCTGCAGCGCCCTGAAGGTCCCGTTTGTTTACAGAACCTGCTGGGGGGGGCGGGGGTATCTCACCTGCATGTCTGCCCCCCCCAGCCCTTGTCGCTTCCCTCAGCTGTCCCTGTGGCCTGCCCCCCCTTGTGCCTCCTCTCTGCATCTGCCCCTCCTCCTCCCCCCGGCTCCTCCCCCGTGGGCGGGCACTGGGCCACCTGACCCCTCCCTCTCGTCTCCTCTCGCCCCGCTGTGCCCCCAGGTGCCTGCAGAACTACATCCCGCCCCAGAGCCTGACCCTCTCCTGCCCCGTGTGCCGCCAGACCTCCATCCTGCCCGAGAAGGGCGTGGCCGCCCTCCAGAACAACTTCTTCATCACGAACCTTATGGAGGTGCTGCAGCGCCAGCCCGACAGCGCCAGCCATGAGGATGCCGCCGCCGCCATGCTGGACTCAGTCAGCGCCGTGCCTGGCCAGCCGCTTTCCTGCCCCAACCACGAAGGGAAGGTAGGTGCTCTGCCGCCGCCGCTGCTGGCGAGGGGTGGGGGGCTGGGCTCCCCCCACAGTTGGCTGCAAGCCTCCGCTTGCCTGTTCAGGCGCTTCCTCATGCGGGGGGTGGTGGAGGTGGTGGTCCAGTGTCTGAGGACGCTCAAGGGCACACCTCCTGCCCGAACGGGGTGGGAGGCGGGGGTGCGATTCCAGGGCTAGCTCGTGCTGGAAGGGGAGGCGGGGGGGCAGAGGGATCACTCGCCTCTCTGCTTGTGCTCTTCTCCCCACCTCCCCCCCCCCCCCCCCCTGGCCAGAGGGCGATCCCCCCCCCCCCCCCCCCCCCCAGCTAGATGATGGAGTACTACTGCGAATCCTGCGAGACAGCCATGTGCCACGAATGCACCGCCGGGGAGCACCGGGAGCACGTAACCGTGCCCTTGCGGGACGTGGTGGAGCAGCACAAGGCGTCTCTGCGCCAGCAGCTGGAGGCCATCAAGAGCCGGTAGGGCTGCGGCCGAGGGCGGGGCGGGGGGGCCCCGCAGCGCCTTGGACTGCGGCTGGCTGGCTGGCTGGTGTGCCAAGGCTCCTGAGAGCCAGTTCGATGTGGTGGTTAAGAGCGTCAGACTCTAATCGGGGAGAACCGGGTTTGATCCCCCACTCCTCCGTGTGCAGCTGGTGGTGTGACCTTGGGTCATTCACAAGTTCTCTCGGAGCTGTTCTCTCAAGAGCAGTCCTCGAAAGAGCTCGACCTACCTCACAGGGTGTCTGTTGCGGGGGGGGGAGGAGTTTGTAAGCCGCTCAGAGACTCCTTCAGGTAGTGGTGGACAATGCTCCCTCTAAGCTGTGGAGTCTTGTGAGCAATAATTCTACTTTGTGAGCTATTGGCATTAAAGTTGTGAGCGAGCAATTTGGCTACTGCATCAATTAGTTGGCTCTGGAGCCATCCCTTCCTGAGTCGAGACAAAAATGTGTGAGCTGGAGGCTAAAAAACTGTGTGCTAGCTCACACTAACTCAGTTTAGAGGGAACACTGGTGGTGGAGTATAAATCCAGTCTCTTCTTCCTTGAGAAAGTTACTACCTTGCTGGATCAGGGGAATGCTTTAGACATAGCTTATCTTGATTTTAGTAAGGCTTTTGGTAAGGTTCTTGTTGGTGAATGGGTAAAATGTGGTTTGGATCCCATGACTGTTGGGTGGATCTGTAACTGGTTGACAGATCGCACCCAAAGAGTGCTAGTTGTGAATGGTGTTCCTCATCCTCTTGGAGAGGAGTGTGACAAGTGGAATGCCCCTCAAGGAGTGTTCAACGTTTTTGTCAATGATTTGGATGAAGGGAGAGAGGGAATGCTTATTAAATTTGCAGGTGATACTAAATTGGGAGGGGTAGCAAATAGGGTAGAAGACAGAGTCAGGATACAGGATAATCTTGACAGGCTGGAAAAATGGGCCAAAACAAATAAAACGAATTTCAATGGGGATAAGTGTAAAGTTCTGCATTTAGGTAGGAGAAATCAAATACATTGTTATAGGATGGGGGAGACTTGTCTTGGCAGTAGTAGCAGTATGTGTGAAAAGTATCTGGAGACCAGTTCCTATGAGGAAAGGCGGAAGGAGCTCTGGGTCTGTTTAGCCTGGAGAGGAGACGACTGAGAGGGGACAGGATCACCCATCTTCAAGTACCTGAAGGGCTGTCATCTAGAGCAGGTATGTCTAACAGGTAGATCGCGGTCTACCAGGAGATCGCGGAGGGGTCAGAGGTAGATCACCAGCCCCACTTGGTCTCCTGGTTTGCTGGACAGGTGTTTGGGGCTTTTTTTTATTTTAAAGATTGTGCAAGATCAACCTGGATCAATACTTGACCTACATTTAACACAAATAACTCTGAATAAAAGTTAAAGAAAGTTATTGAGACAGTTAAAGAGAGTTATAACTCAATAAAAAACAAAAAATGTTCGCAGTTCTTTCTGGATCTTTGTCTCTCTGTTTTGTTTTTGCTTGTTTTGCTTACCAGTAAATGACTGTGGGTTAAAATCTAATTTGAAACTAATTTGAAACTTTATTTTCATGGTGGTAGCTCACCGGCACTTTTGGCCGGAAAAATTAGATCACTACCTGTTCGAAGTTGGGCATGCCTGATCTAGAGGATGGGGCGGAGTTGTCTTCTGTGGCCCCAGAAGGTTGGATCAGATTAAATCAGAAGAGTTTTTGGCTAAACAGTAGGAAGAACTTCCTGACGGAGCGGTTCCTCAGTGGAACAGGCTTCCTGGGGAGGTGGTGGTGGGCTCTCCGTCTTGGGAAGTTTTCAGACAGAGGCTGGAGGGCCCCACCTGACAGCACTGCTGACTGTGTGACCTGAGGCAGATCCTGAGAGGGAGGGCAGGGAGGGTTGCAGCCTCGGTGCCTAGCTCTCGTGGCCCTTTCTTACACGCCCAGGGGGATGCTGGTGGCCACTTTGGGGTCAGGAAGCAATTTTTCTGCAGGCCGGTTTGGCTGGAGATCCTGGAGAGTTTTCTGCCATCTTCTGGGTGTGGAACAGCGGTCACTGGGGGCGTGGAGGGGGGGGAGGGTTTTGTGAATTTCCTGCCTTGTGCAGGGGGTTGGCCTAGATGACCCTGGAGGTCCCTTCCCACCCTACGATGCTACGATTCTTCTTCCTCCTCCTCCTCCTCCTCCAGGCTGCCCCACCTGACTGCCGCCATCGGCTTGGTGTCCGAGATCAGCCAGCAGCTGATGGAGCGCAAGAACGACGCCGTGGCCGAGATCGGGAGCACCTTTGCTGAGCTGGAGAAGGCCCTGCACCAGCGGAAGGGGATGCTCGTCCGGGACCTCGAGGCCCTGTGCGGGGCAAAGCAGAAAGTAAGGCCCGCCTGCAGGGGGGGGGAGAGGCACTGCTGGCCCGCACAGCCAGGGTGGGAGGTCCCTGGAGGTTTGGGGGTGGGGCCTAGTGGGGCCTGCAGGGTTTGGGGAAGGGGAGAGGGCGTGGTGTACAGTGGCATGTGGAGTCCATCCTTCTTCTTGGCCGTTTTCTCCAGGGGAGCTGTCTAGTCAGGAGAGCAGTAGTCAGGAGAGCAGTTGTACTTTGGGTAGAACACTTGTCCTCCGCGGGAAGTTGGCACCCTGAAGCCTGGCGGTGGCCGTGGCTGGGCCGGAGAAGGGAGGCAAGGCCGTGGCCGGTAAACCCCCACACACACACACCGCTTTCTCTCCACCAGCCACCTCGCTCCTTGTGCTTCAACTTGAAAGCTGTTCTGGGGTGTGGAGGGTGAGTGGCCCAGTGTAGCAGCAGTGTCTGTCCTGGGGGTGGGGGGACTTAACGTCTTGCCTCCCTCTGGGGATGGCCTAAGCAGAGCCAGAAGTGAAAGAAGAAGAGAGGAGATTGGATCGATGCCCCATGGCCCTTCACTACCCAGAGGAGTCCCACAGTGGCCTAGACATAATGCATGGAAATTATAAGGGAGTCGGGCTTTTCTGCCCGGACAGTTTCCGCTGGAGCCATGCGGAGGGAGGGCCTCTGGTGACCTGGGAGGGGGGCCTGTCTCGGGTGCGGTGCCCTTTCCCTGGCTGTGAATCCTGTGGGCTGAGGGCCTGGAGCAGATCTCCCTGCGTTCCGTAGGGGCCGTGGTGGGGAGAGGTCCAAATGTGGCCGCTCTGCTGGGAAAGGGGCCTTCACTGGCAGCCGCTGTATTGGGGGGGCACCGGGAGGGGCAAAGGGAAAGACTTCTCGACACGGAGAGGGGTGGAAAGGTGAGATTCGCTGCCAGAGGATGCAGTGAGGGCCACAGGAGTACACAGCTGTAAAAGAGGATTAGGCTCGTGGAGGATAAGTCTGTCAGAGGCTGGCTGCTAGCCATGGCGACTGAGGGGAACCTCCACATTCAGAAGCAAAAAACCTCTGAACCCCAGAGCCAGGAGGCAACATCAGGGGAAGACCTCGGCCTCCCTGCCCTGTTGCTGGCCCTCCAGGGGAACTAGCTGACCCCTGTGTGAGACGGGAGGCTGGACTGGAGGGACCCTCCCTGGTCTGGCCCAGCAGGGCTCTTCTGAGGTTCCTATCAGGGGAAGGCCTCGGCCTCCCTGCCCTGTTGCTGGCCCTCCAGAGGAACTGGCTGGCCCCTGTGTGAGACGGGAGGCTGGACTAGATGGACCCTCCCTGGTCTGGCCCAGCAGGGCTCTTCTGATGTTCTTCTCAGGGGAAGGCCTCGGCTTCTCTGCCCTGTTCCTGGCCCTCCGGAGGAACTGGCTGGCCCCTGTGTGAGACGGGAGGCTGGACTGGATGGACCCTCCCTGGTCTGACCCAGCAGGGCTCTTCTGGTGTTCTTCTCAGGGGAAGGCCTCGGCCTCTCTGCCCTGTTGCTGGCCCTCCAG